GTGATCAGGAACAGTTTCAAAATATTCATCATCACTACAGCTCGAAGCAGACGAGCTTTCATCCACCTGGTGCACTGTTTCGATTTCCTGCAACGAGCTGTTCAAAACAAAAAAAAAAGACTGAAAAGTTTCCTTTTCGATTTGTCGAAGAAAAAGTTAATCCCTTTGTGAGTAGCCGATTGTCCGATGGTATTAGTGTAAACTGGGGAGCCAAAGTCGCCTTCTGACTAGTCTTAAGAAGAAATAATTGGCCAACGCACCGGCTGCCGGTGCAAAGATGCGTTTTTTGCACAGTTTCTCGCAGTTTTTGTCGCTACCGGCACCGATTTTTCCGACAAATGCTTTAGCTAACAAATTAGGACTGGCCGCCAGGACTGTCAGAAAAGACCCCCTTAAAATTTCAGCTTTCTTGCTTTCCTGGCTCCCATTAGCAACTTACCCGCAAAAAAATTGACGGGACCGTACATAGGAATCATGCACATCCGGGGGCTGGTTTGAGCTCATTAATACTTACTTGGATGGGGAACATCCACTTAAAATTACAGTCTTCTAGCTTTTCTGATTCCCGAGTTAGCGACTTACCGCGAAAAACTACCACAAGTCTGTAAGTGGGTACCACGCATACTCGGTGCCTGGGTTTGAGCTCATTGAGACTTACGTTGACAAGGAACATCCCCTTAAAATTACAGCCTTCTAAATCTTCAGTTTCCGAGTTAGCAAGTTACCCGAAAAAAAACTTTGGCGGGCCGATTTTTTATCTCAAGATCTACAAAAGCTACAGTTGGGGGCTTAATCTACACGCACGTACGGGTCCCAATCCCCAAAATGGACGCTCTCAATTGCGTAATACCCACGTACGAGCTCGTGAAAGTTTTCTGTGGGTAAGTTGCTAACTCGGGAACCGAAAAGCCAGAAAGCTGAAATTTTAAAGAAATGTCCCCTGTCCACGTAAGTCTCAATAAGCTCAAACCCAGGCATCGGATATGCGTGGTTCCCACGTACAGGCCGACGGACATTTCTTTCGAGTAAGTTGCTAACACGGAAAACTGAAAAGTTAGAAGGCTGTAATTTTAAGAGGATATTCGCCGCCACATAAGTCTCAATGGCCCAAACGCAGACAACCTGGATATGCGAGGTACCCACGTACGGTCCGCCAAAGTTTTTCTTGGGTAATTTGCTAACTCGGGAACCTGAGAAGCTAGAGAATTGGAATTTTAAGGGGATGTTTCCCACCCAAGCAGGTATCAATGAGCTCAAACCTAGGCACCGGGTGTGCGTGGTACCCACGTGCGGGCCAGTGAAAGTTTTTTTCGAGTAAGCTGCTAACTCAGGAACCAGGAAAGCTAGAAAGCTGAAATTTTAAGGGGGTAATTTCTGACAGTTCGGCCAGTCTTAATTTGTTTAGCTAGAAACATTTGCTGGAAAAAGCGGTGCCGATAGAGACAAAAACTGCGGGGAATTATGCAAAAACCGCATCTTCGCCCCGGCAGCCGGTGAGTTGGCCAATTATCTGCATTGCATAGCTGCATAAAACGCATGATAAGCCATCGAAAGCCATTTCGGCAAACTTTAGCTTGCTAAAACGCTGTCACTGAGTCTGCAAGTGGAATAACACAAGAACCGAATATGAAGGAAACTCAGACTATTCCAGAGATACGACTAATATCGGGGTCTCACACCGTCTCTTCGAGATTTTATTTTGGAAAAGAAAGAAAATCTTTCATACAGGACTGGAAAAACTGAACCATGCAAAATTCGAAAATCTAGGATTTCGCTGAATATCAAAAAAAAGAATTCCGGAAACCCAGCACAAATTTCATAAAAATGAGAGAAAATTGAAAACAGAGCGAAATCAAAAGAATACAGTTCACTATTAATAATATGCTTACCATAGCCCTTCCAATATCGCAGTTTTTTACCAATCCATTCAAGTTCGGATCATTTCTCAAGCCTTGTATATCTGCAAAAAAAAAAAAATCAACCGCTGCAACATTCAAAGAGCCATACGTATAATTCTATGACGAGAGTAAAAAAAAAGTGATCCGAGTGGTCACATTAAGATAAAAGTTACCCCACGCTAGTACAGCAGTTAACGGCTTGCTAGCTAAAAATGTTTTTAACTCTCTGGCACGAATCGTCATCGGTATATGATCGAAACTGCAGCAACCGCGTTGATCTGATCGAGACACACATCTTACAGGCAATTCATTTCCTCAGTGAAATGAAAAAACCCACCCTATTCGAAGGAAATAAAAAGGTATAGACTGCATGCATTTTTACGCTAGCATGTCGTTCACATAAGTCAAAATTCCATAAAAAAGTTTGATGAACACTTATATGACTTAGTGGCTCTGTTATAAGATTATCATGTTGGAGGGAAGCACTGGTACCCACGTATGGGCCCTCACAGGGGACATTCCCTTACAATTTCAGCTTTCTAGCTTTTCGACTACCGAGTTAGCGACTTACCCGCAAAAAACTTTCAGGGGCCCTACGTGGATGCCACGCGGGTGAGAGCACCCATTTTGGGGATTAGAGCCAAAATGGGCGCTCTGTATCCTCAAAGTGGGCGCTCTGTATGCTTGAGAAGGGCAACGTTGGTTCCAGTGGGGAACCTTTTTTGCACTAGCTTCTACCGCGTTGACGAGTTGTCTTTTCGAAAGCTTATAGATTTACTTTACATAAATATACTAGCAAATAGAATCAAAGTGTAAAGCTGAAGGTACCCGCTCCCTGTGAGTACAGGAGGTACTCAGAACTGTTCCAAGAGTAACAAGTGCCAACAACAATCATCCGACGGCAGGCTGTCGATGGCTTTCCTACCACCACACAAACAATATAATTGAATAGCACTGTGCACATCAGCAAGTCGATGAGCATTTGCTCCACCTGTACTTCGTCACCATCTATTTTTGCTGCACTCAATTAGCAAAAAATTCTATCGCGAATTCTGCCCGACTAATAAACACATGATATTTTTCGAAGCTGGAACAAACACACAGTCTTCTTTTCACACACAGGCAAAAGACTTCCTTCTGAACAAGCATTCCTATATCTGCGTAGCCGCTGAAGAAAACGCATAACTACTAACCATATCCAAGAATAGTAAGCTTTGTCGCGAGGAGTTTTTTTAAGCATTCGTCACTTCTGTTGGCCAGATGGATTATGTCATATTCATTCTGGATATTGTTGATAATTTTTTTCAGCTCCTGAGTGTAGATTTCTCGAGCCAGATGTCGTTCCATTGAGCCAAGAGAATTCCATGCATACCTTAACTTCGACTCTCACACAACAATTTTGAACTTTTCCTTTCTATTATTTTTCATTCTCTGAAATTCATCAAAAACAATGATGAATGATGGAGTTGATGAGACCATTTTGCAGCGACATTCTCCATCCCAACTGGAACCACCGTTGCCCCGACAATTCATTTTCATGATAAACGGGGAACAATGAACAGTGGCTAAACCCACTAACAGCAGTAGCGCAGTGGCTCGCTTTTGAAAATGCTTGTTGAAAAGCAAGCTCAAATGGTGTATGCTAGATAAGCCAGCATTAATTTGCCATCAAAATGGTTAAAAAATTGACTGATTAAATTTCAGGCAATAAAACCAATGGCGATATACTGAAATGGGATAGGGGTAAGAGAAAATAAAGAAATTTTTTTTCAACAGAAAAAATAAAATCATTACCATTTCAGACGTTCAACGGCCGACCAAAATGGTGGGCATGGAATGTTGCACTTTCCGACTGTTCCTTGTTTAAACAGCGAGTAAAGGCGCAACTTCTGATTGATGGAGATACGAATTGGTCCTGAAATTTTAATGCAATTAAGCATTGTCCATTAAAAAAATGAAAGTTTTTTAGCAACGACGAGAAAGTGTTCTTCAACTCACAGTGTTCTTCAGCAAAAAGAATTTGTTTCTGAAAGGCCAAAATGAAAAAATTGCAGAAGGCACTGCAAACGTTACAAAAAGCGAATACTCGTACAAGACTGCCTTCCAGAAGAATCTGAGCCAGCTGCGCAACTTAAACCAATCGCTTTAAATCTAACAAACAAACAAAAAAAAAACAGAAGGCTAGACCAGTTAGCCGAATCCCTAGCCGATAAATTCGTCCGCCAGCATGCGCACGCGAAGATACTGGACACGATGAGTGCCAACGACAAAATAGACCAAATAAAAAGAACTTTGTTCTCAAAAATAAACGAAAAGGCTGGCTGCGAAGGCCTCCATTAAGTGTTGCATCCTTTAATTCCGACCATCTTTCAGTGAAGAGAGCGAGTCGAAAAACAACAGGATGGATTGGCATTTTGGCAATCAGATCAAGATGACAGCTAATAGATGGAAGAGGTAAATACCGCTGCATTTACCTATGAATGTGTTCGAGGAACAGCAACAAAATCACTATCGTACTGGGTGGATCCATCGAACCAGAATGTGTGGAGTGCAGAAAACGGAAAAGTGGCTCAGCGCAGAGAGAGAGAAGGAAACGGGTTTGAACTGTTTCAGATTTGAATGCAAAAGAAACATACAGATAATAAGTAAAAATTTAGGCAAAAACCTCTCTTTGGCATATTTTGTACGATAGCTACGGCAGCTTCAAACGCAGGATCAGGGCTATAGCATTCTGCGCGTTCCAAATCTTCCTCCATTTAGCGGCAGTGACTTGTTGCACCTAAAATCCAGTTGTACCTCCATCAGGTCTCTTCAATTCTACCAGCAAAACAGCTGTCACGCATTCATGTTAGGCTGATTAAGCATCCAATCACGCAAAACGGAGAAGCACCATTCCACTTCGACCAAAGCGGAAACCGGAAGTTTCATATGAAAGTTGACAAGATGCCGGTCAACAAATCAGTACAAGATGCTCAAACATTACGCGATTCTCTGAATACTAAATCTGTTAAAATCCAACGCTTTTGCAAGCCCTGGACAACGCTGTTATCATCCTACATCACCAGCATCCATCTGCAAAAACTTACATGCAAAAGAATTTGTTCAGTGAATGGGGCGGAAATGCAATGATTTTCGTTGCAAAAATGAAATGCGAAAAAAACTGGTAGGAGTGAGGCAAAAAAATTTCTGGAAAATCTTAGAATTTTTGGAAAATCTTGAAAATTTTTGGAAAATTCCTGGAGAGTATTCGTCAAAGAACCTATTCTACACCACAGTTCGATTACCTCTAGTGTTGGGGGCAGAGACGACGTAATCGCCCCTCAGCATGCGGGGGAGCATTCCCTTAACAATCGGTATCGCCTGTTTTTGGAAAATCATACATAGACTACGGAAAATATGTTAAAATATAGAAAAACTGCTGTGGACGAAAGTAAAAC